GCATCAGAGCTTCCCGTTCTGCATTTAAGCAATGAGCATTGTCGCAACGTTTGGATTCTGTCGCTCAGCACAATAACAATGTGTATACGCGGAGTTCACACACTCATAGCATGTCCGTTGCACTGCATTGCCCTGTGCATGGCCTCTGTGTGTCTGGAAAACAATGTCGAAGCGAGTGCTCGGGTTGCTAGAACCGACAGGCAGCCCTTCAGCCGTTGATGACACAGATGCTCTACGAGCACGAATCGTCGCCTGATATGGCACCGTCCAAAACGACCAGCATGACCGCGTGACGGGAACAATCAGGAACATGCGACGTAGGCACAGTGCCAAAAAGCAGCGACTGACGACCCTTGAAGACATGATGCACGCCTCCGGAACTAAAGATTCTCCCGAAGTCACTGCAGAACCAGTCATGCCCACTGCACTTGCGGAAGCTCAATGCCAGCACCACAGCCAACTCGAGCTCCGTCGCGACACCTGTTCTCGATCAATCAGGCTCTGGTTTCGCTTGTCCTTGATCGGCATCGGCTCGCCGATCCATGCGATGGATCCAAGATGCTCGACATCAGGGCTTCGCTTTAATATCTGGATTTCTACTACTCCCATTTCCTGTCCAGGATGGCATGGATGATACGACGGGCGGTTTTCAAACAAGATCCTGGATACTGGACAAACAAGCGGATAAGAGAGAGTAGAAGATTGACGTCGGATAAGATGAAGTTACAGCTGCAGCATCTGTTCAAGTTGACCGTCGGAAAATGGGACATCTGCGGCACTTGTGTGTGGCATGCTCAACACGTGACGAAGCAGTCCGGAAGATGAGTTATGTCGTCAGCTGGGCGTGGTGCATGCAGCGAGATTTGAGGGCAGTGAGGGCCTTTCAAGATACAAGCTAGGCGCAACAGCCATGAACACCAAGACGGGACACCGAGTGCTGAAGCAGCTGGCCGGACCCGGGGCCGCGCGGCAGATCTGTTGGTAGTTGTTTCCAATCCTTCTCTTTTCTGTCTCGTGTGCGTGGGTTGCTGTGTTTTTCAATGATGTATTGTCCTTTTCAGGAACTTGACGAAATCCCCAGACCCATCTTGCCAAATCCCAACAGTGTCTCGGAAACCCTGGGCTAGGATACAGGGAGCACGAAACTGCACTACAGCAAAGGACAAGCGAACGCTTGGCTAAGATGTGTCGTAGATCATAGTCCCCTAGTCAGTACAGCTTTGCTGAGTTTCTCGCACAAAAAAGACAAGCCCGCAATATCGTTTTTGCCATGTCTTCAACCTTGCGTCGTAGAGCCGAAGTTGCCAGCAGTGCCTCCCAATCATTCAGTCCCACCCGCTACATAGACTACACAGGACGTGATGCTCCGATTGCATGGTTCCAAAATTTGTGCAATACAGGAACACACAGGTCAAATTTATGCTCCCTGCCGATGGCTTGTCTGCATGTTTCGTACTGGTACGGTCGCGACGGAAGAGGCCATGTGCACGAAAGGCAGTCAGCTTCGTCTTGGCCACAGAGTCAGTCGTCTGGTACAAACACAAGAGTAGCAAACCGCTTTCTCCTCTCCGTGCATGCGATTTCGGAGTTTTCTGTTTCAATTGGCAGCCGTTTCCGCCAACTAGCAGTAGCTGGCTTGCGCAGCGAGCAAGCCTGCGCGGATCGGCCCGACCAAACAACCACACTCATAGTGTCTGCGGCAGTGCAGGGTTGCCACCATCAAACGTGGCAATGATAGTTGATGTTGAAGCAGGAGCCCTCCACCACTGGAAAAACACGCCGAAGGGGCGGCCGAAACAACCGCAAGAGAGGCCGCAAGCATTGAGATTGATTCATGACTCCGCGGTGCAGGGCTGCCCTGCTGGAAAAGGGATCAATGAAAGCATCAGGCGCAAGTGCAGACCCGCTGTGAGAGAGGTGCTCGGCGGGACTCCGATCCTCAGCCGCAACCGCAGCAGCCGCAGGGCCAGCCAATGCAGCCACAGCAACTTCGGCTGCAACCGGTTGATGCCTTGTGCTCATGTGCATGAACTCGCGGCGAAGGCAAGCGACTCAAGCGCCTCAGGGCCCGCCAAAGGGTGCGAAAGGCTCTGCCAAGGCAGATGGGTCGCCTCCCTTCGGGGCTCGCAAACCTCTACACTCTACACCGTCTGACTTTCTGCGTCCGGGCATGTCTGTTTCTTGTTCTAGGCCAAATCTCAGCCCAAGGGGCGATCGACGGAGGCACATGCTGTCGCCTCAACAGCCAACACAACTAGACTCTGTCCTTCACAAGTAAGAAACGAATATTTCCGATTCCTGTCAGAGGGATTCTCATCTGGGCAGTGCTTTGCATTGGCAGGCTGGTCAGCCTGTTTTGGCTGCAGGCCTGCGGCCTGCATGTGTACGCCGCGATAGCATTAGGAATGTTGCGCTTGCGGCGGCAAGGACCCGTCGCCGTGTCGGACAGGAAGTCGGACTTTCGTCCGGAGCACCTCGGCCTGGCAAACAGGAGCACCGCAGTCTGCAGTGCGGTGAGGTTAAAGAAATTCTCGTCGTTGGCAAGAGCTTTGAATGTTGCTAGGTACACACAACCCCCCATGGCACAGCTGCTGCTTCAGCAGCCGATGCAATGCAGGGGCAGCCCACCCGCTCCTTGGTCTCTCAAATCAAAAGAACTTCCCGGGTTCAGGATCAAGCAATGGACAAGCTCAGTGTGCACATCTCTCTGTGGAAGATCAGGTCATGTTTCAGCAGCAGATTCCCCTGCAGCAGCCACATCCGCAGCAACAGTTCGTGCAGCAACAACTGCACCCAATGCAGTTTCAGCACCTCTGGCAGCAGGTTATGCTCGTGTCGGTTTGTCGGGACGATTGATTGACAGAAGCAAGCCTTATGCCTTATGCTTCTCCACAAGCCCCAGTTTCTCCAGGCACTTCTCGCCAAGCTTTACGCCAATGGCGCCAATGCCCGTCTTTTTTGGGCAGCGCGCGTGACGTACAAGGCACGGCTGGCATGCATGCCCTATGCCACGTGTACCTGCAGCATCAGACAGAACCTGTGACAGAGAGGGGAGCCTTCCTGGACAGATCTTTCCACAGCCCTTGACATAGATTTGGAGTGTCGCATGGTACGTGGAGCTTTGAGCAGAGTTACATATAACTTGGGCAGTTTCGAGCACTAGCCATCCCGGCCGTCGATCCAGTTGCCAGCGAGTGCACATGGACCCACATGTTTGCTCCTGGTATCTCCTGATAGCAAATGGATGCGAAGGTTCGAACAGGTACAACATCCGTACTTCAGTCGGGTGCTGTGGGATATCCGTCTCGGCTAGCTTGGTCCAGGGCTTGCTGTTTCGTGGCTGTGTGCGTGCGCGCAGGAACTGCACCAGTTTTCTTTCAGTCGGAAGCTCGGCGTTCTCGGCAATCCAGGTCGGGCGGGCTCGCAGAATTTGGATCTGGTGAGTGAGGTGTTTGTTGCAGTGGATCGAAGTTCCATCTCTTCCATGCCAATGATGTGGCCTCGAGCAAGCAAATCAGGCTCAGGGGTGTCGGGAGTGTCGAGGTGTTAAGGGCCACGGGCAACGCGTTTGCGGTGTTGGGTAATGGCTCGCTGTGGGAACTTCTATCTACGTATCGTTTGACTCAGGGGCCTGGAGCCACCGACTATGCACCGGGCATTCCTTGTTACATACCGCCTTTGTTTGTCATCGGGACCCGCATAGAATCGCATACAGGCAAGGAGAGATTAAGATAGCCACACCCTCGGACGATACGGCCTGCAATGTAGCGAGTAGAACCTGGAGCAGGACCATGACACATCATGAAGTCAACAAGAAATTTATCAGCTACTACGACGAGCAAAGCAAAAAATAAAAACGTAGGGTCAGCAGTCAGAGGTTGGCTATCCACCTCAATTATGCGTTCTCCTGGGTGTTGAATATCGACGCCTGCAACATGTTCTCCCCGACAGATTCCGTGTGGCGGAAACGTGATGAAGGTCTAGCTCTGGAAAGGCCGCACCCACTAACGATGCTTGCTCGCACAAAGCCTGAGTCCGAGCCCGTGCTATTCAAGGCTCTCGGGTGTTCTGCAAAGCCAAGGCCAGCCAAACTGATGCAGTCAACGACAGCTCGGCTCTTGTAGTGTGGGCAGAGTGAGTCAGCGTGGATGCTACTTCAAAAGCAATGCAGGCCAACAACACTCTTTGATTGTTCTCGAGTCAGCATGGATGTACAACTCTGGAAGAGCTGTCGACTGCCTGGTATTGGGGGCTTTCACCATGAGCTGATCTACGCGCCACACGACTACCGACCCTTACAGCAAAGTGGTCTGCCCTGAGTATTGGTGCAATAGTTTGGTGCCGAAGCAATCATCGCATGGTAACTGAAGGATTCCAACGTGCTACGACACTTTGCTTAGGGTCGTGCGCACGAGTCGTGCCGGTGAGTCTTGTGAGGGCCGTGCAGTGCCTACGGGTCAACTGTAAACGCGAGATTGCACGACCGTACCCACCAGACTCAGCGGCAGACAAATCCAATTTTGACAGGGAATCACAATTGATCTCCAGGGCCGCTGTGCTTTTCCTGTCAGCCAGCACCGAAACAGAATCACGCCCACTTGGTTCGATAGGGTTTCTACTTGCCCCTGCTAGCCTCGGCGCCACTGCATCAGGGGCACCGATGCAAGTGGCAGCCCTTTCCCATGGCCGCACAGGTCCCAGGTCCCCTACCCAAACCATGTGATAAATCCTCCAGTAGCCGCTGCAGATGTTCGGATGTTCGTGCTTTCTCCCAGAGCCTCGTGCAGCAGTTGCGCATGTGCTCATGTGCATTCGATCATCGGACGACGGAGCTTTTCTAAGACTTTTCGAGGCTCTTGCTCCAGGAGAGCTGGCCAATGGCCAAACTGTACAGTGTCCGTGAACGAGTTGGCGCTTTCCTCGCAGAAGAGCTGCAAAGTCCCTGAGCTTTCGCGCTGACACAGTGCCTCCGTATCTTGAGCAAGTTCCACTTGAGCTTCATGTGTCGACTGTGCCGCCAGGCTAAGGAGATCCGAGCCCTCTTTGAGTGGGTGGATCCTGCACAGGCACGCGTGAAGCTTCGCCTGCTCGTTTCCAAGCAAGGCATGCTCACGGTCAGCTGCACGCAGGGTGAGACACGAGCCCTTCTGCGTGAGAAGCACGGAGAGGCCCTTTCTTTGCAGATGCCTCCAGCTGACACCTCTCCGACGCACAAGCAGCTCAGGGCCAGGAGGACGAGCTTGCCGCCGCAGCAGCCGAGGAAAGCTGGGCAAAAACATGATGGGTTCAGGAATTTTATCGGAATCCGAATATGCTCGTAGCCGCATGAGGTATGCACCTGTACCGAGAAGGTACAGGAACAAGTTGCGGCAAGTCTACGTGCGGAAGACTGCACACCTGCGCAAGCTTAGAGTCAAAACAGCGGCAGAGGATGGCTCCCACACTTGGCTGCAGACGCCTGCCCTCGACCTTAGTGGCTTGTCGATAACAAATGCTACGTCTTTCACCAGTTTGAGCGGCCTTATCTTTGCAGGTGATTTCGCCTGCTTGTACGGATCGGCCCAAGAGGAGGAAGTGCGAGATGAGGGCTTTTCAGCCCAGGCTTGTCGCCGCATCGCATAACTCGGCTACACAACAGCCTGTGCGGAGGTTGCAGAAGCCAAACAGAAGCTAGAAGCTGCTGATGCCCTTCACTCGGATGCATGTCGAGCCGGTGTGCTGTCCCCCCTGTCCCGTCAACATGCAAATCGCGCCAACTCGAGGAAAAGCTTAGTGAGAAGAAGCGACTCCGACAAGAGGCCGAGGCGCAGCAAAATATATTCTGACTCAGTGGTTTCCATCCGCACCGCACGCTATGTACAGGCGGAAGTTGCACGGCTTGCTGCAGAGCTCGACGAGGTTTCTGCTGGGATGGACGATGCGAAGGCATCAGATGTTGTTGTGTTTGGATCACCAGAGTTGCGACTGTGTATTGACACTTCACCGGCTGCATTGGGGGCCATGATTTGTTTGGTACGTTACGTGGCACCGTGTCGCCCGTGGCAGCGTCCCCCGCGGAATGATTTAGTGACATTTAGTAATCTAGTGGCGAGAGCGCGGAAGGCGACTTCAGGACAGTGCGACCTTGCAGCCTCGACAGCGCCGACAGTTCCGGGGGATGGGAGAGGCTTGGGGTTGGAATCCCGGCCACTGTTGTTTCCGGATCTTGATCACTGCGAGCAAATCACCACCAACCCTGCTTTGACGACCACGACGACAACAACAACAGCAACAGCAACAGCAGCAGCGACAGCAACAACATCAACGGCAACAACAACAACAACATCAATTGCTACTCCGCTATTACTCGTACTCGTACTACTACTACTACTACTACAACTACTACTACTACTGCTACTACTACTACTACTACTACTACTACTACTACTACTACTACTACTACTACTACTACTACTACTACTACTACTACTACTACTACTACTAACTACTACTACTACTACTACTACTACTACTACTACTACTACTACTACTACTACTACTACTACTACTACTACTACTACTACTACTGCGACTGCCACTGCCACTACCACTACCACTACCACTACCACTACCACCACTGCTACCTACTGCAGCTCCGGCAGCTCCCGCTGCTGCCGCTGCTGCCGCTGCTGCCGCTGACGCTGCCATTGTGACCGCGACTGCCGTTGCTGCTGCTACTGTATGACGACTGTCGACGACCGCGTCAGCTTGTGGAAACGTATTGTCCACCCTACTGTGATAACATATCTTGCCTGCATTTCTGTGCAGCGTCACACTGGGTTTCGAGTTTTCGTGCTGTGACTTCTGCCAGTCGCTTGTATTTGTGAACGATCCAATCATTCCATGTGAAATTGCAGGGTCTACATGGGGACAGGCTGCTGTTGATGTGTTGTGATGCCTCTGATCTGTGTCTGGAGTATTCTGGAGTTGTTGCTTGTTGAAATCGAGCGTTTACATGAGAAACGGCTGGACTTGATGTGCTGGGATATCACGGATGATCACTTATGTGTGTCTTGATCGGTTTCTTATGGGGTCGTGCGTCTACAAGCAGAATAGCTGGTTTGTGTGTTGTGATGCCAGTGATGTGTGTCTCGAGCTGGTGCTGTGGAAACGAGTGTGTACATGGAGAATGGTTGCTTTTGATGCGTGTTGGCGCCATTGATGTGCGTCTGGAGCGGGTGCTTGTGGAATTGAGCATCTGCATGAGGAATGGCTGGTTTTGATGTGTTGTGATGCCGCGCATGTCTGTCTCGAACGGGACCTTGTATGTTCTTGTCAATTTAGGAGCTTATCACGTGGCCCTGTTGACTAAAGGTCCAGCTCATCCAAACCAGTCTCGGGCACTGTTTGGGGCTGGGTACACGCACGCGCACGCACGCACACACACACACACACACATGCGCACACACACATACTTATGCACATACATAGGACACACAGGCAGAGACACACCTACATGGGGAATGGCTGATTCGGACGTGCTGTGACTGCCATGATGTATTATATGGCGCTTCCTTTTGAAATCGAGCGTCTACATGGCAAAATAATGTACTCTCATGTGATGCCATTGATGTGTGTCTCTTGCGGTGCTTGTGAAATGGAGCGTCTGCAATGGGAAAGGCAGGTTTGGACGCGCTGTGATTTCACTGATGTGGGTTTTGCACGTGCGCTTGTGAGATTCAACGTCGACATTGGGATTAGCTGGCTTTCATTTGCTATGATGCCGCCGATGCGACTGCATTTTTTCTCGCGGCATGCTTCTGAAATCGAGCCTACATGGGAAAGGCCAGAATGCCGCCTGTTTGGGACATGGATCTCGGGTCCTTTTCCGCATTTTCCCAGGGCTGCCGCAGCATTTCCATCGAATCGCATGGTTTTCCTTCTGTGGCGATGCCATGTCATATCGCGCGTCACACTGCTGATTGACTGGTCTGAATTTCAGCGGTTCGGCCGTCACCATGGGCGGCAGCACCAAGTAGCGCCAGTACTTCCAGTTGTACCTGTGCTAGTGCCTCTACCTCTACTACTACTACTACTACTACTACTACTACTACTACTACTACTACTACTACTTCTACTACTACTACTACTACTACTACTACTCCTATTCCCTCTACTACTACTCCTACTCCCTCCACTACTACTACTACTACTACTACTACTACTACTACTACTACTACTACTACTCCTACTCCTACTCCTACTCCTACTCCTACTCCTACTACTACTACTACTACCACTACTACTACTACTACTACGACTACTACTACTACTGCTGCTACTACTACTACTACTACTACTACTACTACTACTACTACTACTACTACTACTACTACTACTACTACTACTACTACTACTACCACTACTACTACTACTACCACTACAACTACTACACTACTACTACTACTACTACTACTACTACTACTACTACTACTACTACTACTACTACTACTACTACTACGACTGCCACTACCACTACCACTACGACTACCACTACCTACTACTACCTACTACCTCCTACTACTACCTATTACTACCACTACCATTACCACTACTACTACTACTACTACTACTACTCCTACTACTACTACTACTACTACTACTACTCCTGCTACTACTACCACTACTACTACTACTACTACTACTACTACTACTACTACTACTACTACTACTACTACTACTACTACTACTTCCACTTCCACTTCCACTTCCACTACCACTACCACTACCACTACCACTACCACTACCACTACTACTACTACTACTACTACTACTACTACTACTACTACTACTACTACTACTACTACTTCTACTACTGCCATTGGTACTATACGGATGCCAGCCACGGAAGTGCTGATTTGGAGCTCTTGTCCAACCAGGAAAAGCGGGTGCGAGCCGAAGAAGCATGGAAGGACAAACGGTCTGAGCTAGTCCAGGTCCGCCAAAGAGATGGTAGATGTGAGAGTTGTGACTGTTCATTGCATCCTTCTGCCACTGCCCGTGGTTGTGTTTGCAGAACCAGAATTAAAGCTCGCCGATGCTACCAGGCACGCAAGGGAGAGACAACTGCCCAACAGCGGTTGGAGAAGGCAAGCATGCCGTGCAGCTGAATGTCCTAACGCTGCCAAGTCAATGGGACGCAGCAGCTACTCGTAATTTGCAGGCTGGATGCAGCTTGATCACGGTCCAGGCGGGCCTCGAGACGTGGCATCAGAGTGTCAGCATGTCGGGAGCAGGACCGGCTCCTGAACCACCAGAACGCGCTGACCAGTGCCACCGAGGCGCGGGCGTGGCCCGGCATGCCTCGTCCGTTGTGTCCGTCGTCCGGCCTTCGTTTGAGGAGGTTGAAGCAGCTGCTCTCAAGGCCGCCGAGGACAGGCTTCGCAATGGTAAGGAGGCACCATTGTTGCTCTCAATGTTGGAACCGAGGCAGCTGAAACATCCAAGGAGAATCATGAGACTTTCGCGAAGGTGTGGCTCTCAGATCAAGGAGCGAAGATGTGCGAAATAAACTCCAATTGAAAACGTCTTTTGAGGCCTTGTTTGATGCTGAGAGCCAACTGGGCCTTGTCGACCAGCGTGGCGCTGCCACAGGCCGCCCATTATTTCATGACTTTCGCCTCTGACGCAGTGGCCACGAGTGACCGTGTTGATTGTTCCACTTCCAAGGTGACTGCGCTGCAGACGCCGCGCCAGACAAGCCATTTTCTCAAACAATTGCTGTGCTTGCATCTGAAATGTCTCTTGATGCTGTGTCGAGGTTAAAGAAGGCTCAGAAGGCACTGGACAAGTTGAAGACTTCGATGGAGAATAACTTGTTCCGTCAGGCCGTTGGGAATGGGGAAACTGCCACTTAAGTGGTTGTGCAGTCCGGACAGGTGGAGTACGAGACTGTGGAGGAGGATGTTCTCAAAGTCGAACCAGGCAGGCGCCTAGAAGCGGTTTTGTACGCATGTCGCAGACCTCAATGCAAGTAATTTGAGTTGAGGTTGATGTTCCAGGGCTGGCATGAGATTTCAGACGCCTCATTCCCCAGGCCGCGAACGGGAGCGGCACCGCCTGGAGCAATTGGTCGCGAAGGTGGAGCTTTGCTGGCACAGTCAACGCGGGACCTGGCATCCCCTGGCCAGTGCACGAGGCCATCCAGCGTGCCGAAAATTCGCGCGAAGCGGCAGCAGCCCCAGCGGCTGAGCACTTTCAATTTTGGTGGAAAACCACATGTCGAGTTGTCCCACGGATGTTTCCACACATCTCATGCACTGGAGGTGCTGAAGGAAGTGCAAAATTTCGTGGAGGTTCCGACTTACGCCTCGCGCTATGAATTCTGGATCCGGCACCTCTTTCAGGCTGGCATGTGGTTTGCAGAGTCTCTGCAAAAAACGCAGAAGCGGCCAGTAAGGATGGACCAGGCCAAGTTGAGCATTTGCATTACATACTGATGCAAACACGCAAAGCCGATACTGATGCAAAGAAAATCGAAGACAATTTCTGGAGCCGAGTCAGGTCAAGGCGGTCCAATCCACCGTGAAGGCTGCATTCCGGCAGCTGCCAAAAGCTTGGCAGGCTGTGCGCAGCGCCAGAGAGGCTCGTTATTGGTCCTGGATCCCGAATGCCATATCCATTTTCAATCGCAGACTATGCCTGGTACGATATACATCTATGAATCTATGCACACTCACAGGCGCAGGCGAAAGTTGGTGCCCAGCGACGCAAGGCATTGGCAAAACGTTCCAGAGTCCAGGAAATGTGGGCAGCTCGGGCAGGTGGCGCTGCGCCGAGCCACCGCTGTACAGACAAAAACGGAGGCTGAGGCAACTGTCCAAAGCGCATCGAGTGAGCCGGGCTCCACAGAATCCTCGAGTCTCGTGGGGGGATGCCCATTGCATGTTTTGCTAAAGAAGGGTGTTGGAGTCTTGGAGATTGCTTTCAGCTGGTGTACGAAATTTAGATTCACCCGCCCTTCCAGGGGCTGAGCATATCAAGCAGCGACGGGCCCTTTTGAAGGACAGACCCTGCTGAAAGTCTACCTGTGTTGTTGGATCTCTGCGTGTCTGGAAGCCATTTGCCTTCCAGAGAGTGCTGGGTGTAAGAACCGGGTTTGGTAATTCAAGCTGTCACACAGACACACACACACACACACACACACACACACACCCAACGGGCACACGTAAACACGCTCATGCTCACGACCCCACACCGTCACCAGCAACCACAACCACAACCACACCCTGACCCACACACTCTGCGTCAGGGAGGCACAAACAGAGACGCACCAAATGCAACGGATGAGTGAAACCTTGCCGCCCAAGGCAGAAGGAGGCGGAGGCAGAAGAAGCCCAGCTGCGCAGCGAGCGCAGCGCAAGGGAGCTGCGGCCCCGGTGTCCGGTGCACAGTAGGGCAAGACGAGGTCCCTGGCACCGGAGCCAGCCTGAAGTCTGCAGAATCCGAGCCCACAGCGTGGCCGCTGGTACAAGTCTAGGATTGCGGGCATGGAATCTTGCAGAGGTCCGACCTGGCAGCCGCAGAGGCTGCCCGTCAAACCGCACACCAGCGGGAGGCAAGATGGGCATGCCGGCCACCGTCGAGCGCCGATCGCGATGCAACCCTTAGCCTTATAGCCTGCCCATAATGTTTAAGCGTTCGCACACTTGCTGCGACAAGGTCGATACGATTACAGTGACACTTCGGACAGTTGACCAAAATCAGTTGGAAGCATCCATGGTCCATCCAGGTTAAGCTTGTCGGTATGGCGAGTGATGCATTGTACGAATACGCTTCTTTTCGTCGGCAGGTCGACATGAAACGGCGTCGTGATGAGCTGAAGGACTTCAAATGTTGTGTGCAGTACTGGTGAATTGCGCTATGGCTGGATTCCCATACAGATAATCCAACATTTGCAAGACTGGCACGAGCATTCTGTGAGACTTGCTGATTCCGTACACTGAGCTCGTTGGACGATCCGTCTCGGCTGTATACATGTAGTGGAGGCCCAGCAACCAGCCGCAAGGGATGCGGTGAAGGCAGCCCGTGCCGCAGAGCGCGAGGCGGATGCTGAGCGCAAGGCCCCAAAGGGGCGTGTGATGGCTTGTGCTGTTTCTGCGCATCGTTTTGCGATTTCGAGGGCTTGTGGCGGAGAGTCGTGGCAATTTCCAGGTGTATAGGAATGGTGAGGCCTAATTACGATGAGATCTGAGATCGAGATGTTTCGGCATGCTGGCCGAACTGAATACGACCGAGACAGCACTGTCATTGTTGTTTGACAATGCGGGAAGGCCCTACATGCGAGAGCCGAGAAGCGCGAGAAGGCAAGGTCGAACAGTGGTGCCGGAAGAGATAGAACGTTAGAGCACTACAGCGGTGATTGGTTCCACGTTCACTTCATGGCGAGTTTTTGGGGATGACCGTGGGAAGCGGTTGCACAAAGGTGTCAAATCAATCATCGTTCTTGTCTGTTGTACTTCGTTTTCCCGCTTGGTTGCGCGCGAGGGAAGGGCTGCGCATTGCTGTGTGCTTTTTGCAGGAGCAAGAGTTGCTGGAAGAGGCAAAGAGCACTGCCGCTTGAGACCCAAATCGCGCTGCAAACGGCAAAGTCTGAGCCTGGGGGTGGCGACAGCGGTTAAAATGTAAGGTCAGACAGCTCAAGAACGAGGCATACGACGCCAACCAGGCCACGCCAGCAGCCATCATCAGCTGTCCGCCGAACGACTCGGAATGTTTACCAGAATCAGAAGCCAATTTCTGAGAGATCTTGCGCCTCAGGTGGAGCTTGCCTACGAGGAACGGAGAGGAAGCAAGAAGGCGGCTGCGAGACACGAAGCAAAGAGCAGATGTCCTGCAGTGTTTTGCTTTCCGAGGCTCAGGAATGAGAAAGCTTCCGCCTGCTCAAATCGAGCAAGCCCTGTAAGTCTTGTACAGTAATGGAAGGGCTGTTCTTTTCTGCGTTTCTGCAGGGAAGGAATCCTAAACGTTTCACTTTGAATGTTTAACAATTGGTGGCAAGTACGATGCGAGTTATAAGCAGCCCAAGATTCGGCGCCTCACGACAGATTCGGTGAGAAGACCTGCTGCGTTTTGTTCAGGTGAGCGTTGCTGCGGATAAAGTTCCCGTGAGAATCTGAGGAGAGTTGCTGAATTGGCATGCAAGACGCTAACAAAGCCTGCCATGGGGGAGACCGGCTCAACGAGAGATCAAGTTGAACAGACTCGCATGTTACATTGAGTGTTTGAACCCCAAGTCACCCCAACAATGTTGGGGCAAGCCAGAGGGTGTCACAGGTGCAGCTAAGGGCCACCATAGGCCATCGTAAACTCGCAGAGCCGGGCTGGCGTTTGGGGTGCCTGTTGTCGCTGCTGCGGCAAGAATTCACCTCCGTGTGCTCCTGGAGCATCTGTGCATCAGCAGGGGTGCTCGATTTGTGTGGTGGTACATGCAAAAATCGCAGGGAGACTTGCTTCTTGCCCTGGCTGGCAGTGCTTCTTGCAGATTCTGCACTGTCTCTGTCGTGATGAAGCCGCTTGCACATGTCCAGCGCAGTTGGTCACGGCTCTGGTTCATGGATATGATGTGAGTGCATGACAAGAGCTGTGTGAACACTAGCCGAGAAGATTGCTAGTCAGCACAGCTTTTTTGCCTGGATTGATGGTCGGCTTGGACGGCTCACCCGTCGCGACCAAGGCAGCTGAATCCATGTTTCCGACATGTCAGAGGCCTCGCAGGGGCCCAGTGGAAGCGCGGCGCTTGACACCGCCCGCGTGGACGAGCTTGCCACCGACCTGGTCAGGCCACGCATGCAGTGCAGCAGTGCAGCCACACAGTGGAACGGAATGCTTCTGACTTGCAACATGTATGCAATCATGCATTCCATGAATGGCATAATATTAGACATCTATATACCAATGCATGCATGCAGGCATACACGATTACGCACGAACATTCTATGACAGTAATAACAAAACATAAGGCTACATGGTTACACACATGCATGCATGCATGCATGCATACTTACCCACCTACACCTACATACATCCATACATACATATACACACACGCACACGAACATCACTCACATGCACACTTAGGTTGACTCGCGCACAGACAAGCAGACAGCCAGCCAGACGGACAGATAGACAGACAGACAGATGGACAGACAGAGACAGACAACCATACACGGACAGACACACCCAAACACAGGCAAAGACAAAGACACACAGGCAGAGACGGGCGGCGACAGCAGAGGCAGGATACTGTAGAGACACACAGAGAATGTCAGAGACAGGCATAGATAGACAGAGACAGACAGGGACAGACCGAGACAAAGACCGAGACAGAAGAGGCAGACAGAGGTAGAAAAGAGCGAGAAGAGAGAGACAGAGAGTCTTTTTCCCTGCTGCCTCGAAAGGGGAATCCTGCCAACAGCATGATTGTAACAAGTAACAAGGTGCTGAGTGCAGTCGCCGAGGGATGCGAAATCTTTTTTACGCGCCCTCATCCCGTGGCTTGCATGAAACTCATTCACCTCCGCAACCGTCGGGGGCGCACTAGCGCGCGGTGTAGCGGGTAAAGCCCCTGCACCGTAGCCCTGGCGAAAGAAAGAGAGAGAGAAAGGCGTTGTTGTGTTCGACTGCAGACGGGGGACACCAACAGGGGACAGTTTGGGCAAAACGGGAAATAAACATCGTCTTATGTTATCTAGTTTGCCTTTTGGGTATCAAATTCCCGTGAAATTCCATAATTCGCTGCTGTGTACGACACCAGCGGGAGACTGAGCAACATGTGGCGAACCCCAATAAACTTACTGACTCTATGTTATGCTTGTGCTTGTTACTGTCTGGTCAAACGGGGGACGCCTAGAGTTGTGCATGTGTCTGTTGAAAATGTACGATCCTGGCAGTCCGATATCGTATACTTGTATGGCTTTAGCTGAAGCCGGGGTCTACATTTGACATTCACCCCCAAAAAAAGCCCGATAACACATCGGGTGGGCAAGCTGCCGGGGGGTCTTGATCGACCCCTATGCCCGAGAGAGAGAGAGAGAGAGAGAGAGAAAAACAAAAGGCGGAAAGAGACCGACTGCAGCAGTTTCTGGGAAGACCGTGGATGACCCGAATGCGGCTGCAGGTTTTCTATGGCCTGGGTTTCACAGGCGTAGCCCCGGAAGGGGGATCCACAGACTTTACAGACTCAGCAAGCAAGCAAGCAAGCAAGCAAGCCGCAAGCAAGAGAGCGACAGAGGCAGACCAAGGCGGACAGACATTTGCAGGACGTACAGAGACAGACAGATGCAGACGCGGACAGACCAACGTAATTCCAACATGCAGCCAGACAGACAGACATGGACTTCATCGTTCATGGAAGTGGAAAATTGTTCCCCTATTCGTCAAAGCGGACCAATTAACTCTTCTCACACTCTGGTTTACGTGCGTAGGACGACTGTTGATCATCGTCGCTTGGGCGGCATGCTTTGCAGGACTGTCGAAACTGGCCGAAGACAGCTACACGAGGAAAGGGAGAAGCTCATCTTGGAGTTTGAGGCTTCAGATGGCGGCAAGCTTCCTGCAGTTCCAGCGTGCGTCCTCGACACGTCAGCAGTTGCCAGACCTGTCGTGTCCGCCGCACAGGCCTCCCGTGTCCAACTGCATACTGAGTACTCGCACAGGCTGCTGCAAGCAGATGAGGCCTGAAGCGATTTGAGGGGAATCTGGAAAATGTCGTCCACGGGGAGCAAAGCTTACATTGGGGTTTCGTATTTGCCGAAATGTCCGAGGACCTGCGCTCCGTGCAGGAGGAGCGCTCCTCCCGACGTGAAGCCTCGTTTGTGAACTTGCACGAGATTGTCAACCTTAACGTGAAGACCCCAGTTTTCACGACAGCAATCCGAGCGCTATCTACCTCGCCCTGCTCGTATGCCCTCACCACGTTTACACTAAGGTTGGGGGCAAAACGTACACGGTGAAGCGTGAGACGCTGTGTGTTTGCCGGGGGTCCTTCCTGGCCGAGCTGTTTTCGGGGCGCTGGGACCGGCTTCTTCAAAAGGACGACGAAGGTCAGTTCTTCTTGGACATCGATCCGGCAGTCTTTGAAATCGTGCTGGCTTGGCTACGGGATTGCAAGATCGAGAGCCCGACGCGGCCCGCGTCGTGTCCGACCGTCCCCGTGGAGCACATGCAACACTTTCAGGCAAGGTGTGCTCGAACGGACTCTGCTTCAATATCAATTTTCAGAGTCTGCGTCTGCGTAGGCCGCGGTGGATTATCTGGGCCTGCGGCCTTTTCTAGCCGTTGGCGGCCTGGGACCCAACGGCTGGGCTTCGAGCTCTATGCCGGAGGCAGGTAAGTGGCACAGCGAAGAGCAGAGACACTGCGTGGGGGTTCGCCCTGTCAGGCCCCTCTGAGAGATGGAGGAGTTCCAGGCCCTCCGGGAAGCTTTCTGAAGGCCGCAGGCAGGAGCTTTCGCAGCGCGGCCTTGCGTAACAAGACCATAGAGCCATAGAGTGACATGGCCGATCACCGAATCGCCATCTCGCAGGTTCTTTGAGCTCCTTCTTGTCCTCTTGGCGATCCTCGGGCTCCACACCGCCCGTCCGAGCAAGTGAGGTCTCATCCAAGCAAATCGCATCCTAAGGGGCGATAGGTTCGAGATGAATATATGCGAGTTTAGCTGACAAGAGCTGCCAGGCACAAACCCTGCCAACTCCGAGTGCTGCATCAGAGCCTGCGATGCCTGCGATGCCTTCGAAGGTCGTGGGTTGGTACCTGGCTTACACAAAACTGCAAAAGAATGCTGCAAGAAGATTGTTCTCAGCTTCTGAAGACGTGTATTGACGCCTATCGGTCGTGCAAGGTCACAACGGAGCTCAGACCCCGCAGTCTGCAGGAGGGATGAGGAGGTCGGGACGGTGTAGGATGTACCCCCGCCCCAGGGATGGCTGCACCGGAAGCGCATGGAATCAGCTTGCCATCGTGATTGTAAGACAGGTGACGTTGGCTCTTATCCCAGAAACCCGTGGCTCTGCCACGGCCCGTGCGACTCGTGGCTTCCAGAGCGGCCAGCACTGCTTCGGAGTGATTCTTGCAGAAACACATCGAAAGTGTTTTGTGGACGTGTTTTGTTTAAGTCGACATGTAGATGGCTAGCGGCTAGGGTTTCGGGTGAGACTGATGCCGGGATCCCTAGGGAATAGCCTCGCATTTTGGGATGCCAGTAAAGAATTGTTTTGTATCCGGAAGTTAATACAGCCACGTACAGCTCCTGCTTGCAACATGGTCAGGAAAGTCGTCACGGGCGCTGATGGTTTGGTTGGTCTCGTATCTCCGCAGTGGACTGGTGCTTCGTGAAGTTCAGGAGAGGCAACGGATGATGCAGAGCGCTGTGCTTGGCAGGAGCGTAGCAGCCGCTGCGGCCTTGCCTTTGGGCCGTTCACCGCACTCTTGGGCCATAGCCTCGGATGGCAGTGTCTGGGTGGCAGGAAGGCCGGGCGGGAGGGAGCTCTGCGTTTCCAGACATGAGGCTTTCCCCAAGCAAGAACACAATGCGGTTCATACGTTCAGGGTCAAGGGATCATGCTGTGCTGCTCAGCGCTTGAGGTGCGCAAGCTGGCATGCATAGGGATGCCACGGCTCCCGCTGTGGCATAGTGCGCATTTTCGATGTACATCACGTCTGACCTCGTCACAATCCTGCGCGGGTCCCGTCCGCCGAGAACGTTGGTTTGACTGTATAGTATAGCCCAGTCCGTGCTCCACATTCCCAGGCTCAATTTCGCCTTCCGGATCGAAGTCTCTAGAGTCGGGGTGCAGGGACTTCTTGGCTCCTCGGGACATCCCGCTGTTGAAAGGGACAGGAGGTTGGTTCGCTCGCATTTTCGCGCCGATGTGCTGGTCGTACAAGCCTCAGGGGCGCACGGAATGGTTCTCGGGTGCGGATTGTGGTGCCTTGCCTACTGGGTCTGCTGGGTTCTCTTGCGCTGTTCGGCCACCATGGTGGCTGGTAAGCCCTTCCCCCTAATGTTAAATGAGGCCTCCCCAACAGCTCGGAAAGTCTTCTGATTTTTTGGGTGTCATTTTTTTTCTTTACTGCCACTTTTGCGGGGTCGTGCTCATGCTCCTGCTCGGGCTCTTGCTCCTGCGCTGGCTTTTGCTCCTGCTTCTGCTGCGTTTTGCGCCTGCTCCTGCCCTTCCTGTTGCTCCCGCTTTTGCTCCTGCTCTTCCTGTTGCTCCCGCTTTTGCTCCTGCCCTTCCTGTTGCTCCCGCTTTTGCTCCTGCTCTTCCTGTTGCTCCCGCTTTTGCTCCTGCTCTTCCTGTTGCTCCCGCTTTTGCTCCTGCTCTTCCTGTTGCTCCCGCTTTTGCTCCTGCTCTTCCTGTTGCTCCCGCTTTTGCTCCTGCTCTTCCTGTTGCTCCCGCTTTTGCTCCTGCTCTCCCTGTTGCTCCCGCTCTTGCTTTGGCTTTGCTCTTGTTGATGCTCCCGCTTTTGCTCCTGCTCTTCCTGTTGCTCCCGCTTTTGCTCCTGCTCTTCCTGTTGCTCCCGCTTTTGCTCCTGCTCTCCCTGTTGCTCCCGCTCTTGCTTTGGCTTTGCTCTTGTTGATGCTCCCGCTTTTGCTCCTGCTCTTCCTGTTGCTCGCTTTTGCTCCTGCTCTTCCTGTTGCTCCCGCTTTTGCTCCTACTCTTCCTGTTGCTCCCGCTTTTGCTCCTGCTCTTCCTGTTGCTCCCGCTTTTGCTCCTGCTCTTCCTGTTGCTCCCGCTTTTGCTCCTGCTCTTCCTGTTGCTCCCGCTTTTGCTCCTGCTCTTCCTGTTGCTCCCGCTTTTGCTCCTGCTCTTCCTGTTGCTCCCGCTTTTGCTCCTGCTCTTCCTGTTGCTCCCGCTTTTGCTCCTGCTCTTCCTGTTGCTCCCGCTTTTGCTCCTGCTCTTCCTGTTGCTCCCGCTTTTGCTCCTGCTCTTCCTGTTGCTTTGCTCCTCTCTTCCTGTTGCTCCCGCTTTTGCTCCTGCTCTTCCTGTTGCTCCCGCTTTTGCTCCTGCTCTTCCTGTTGCTCCCGCTTTTGCTCCTGCTCTTCCTGTTGCTCCCGCTTTTGCTCCTGCTCTTCCTGTTGCTCCCGCTTTTGCTCCTGCTCTTCCTGTTGCTCCCGCTTTTGCTCCTGCTCTTCCTGTTGCTCCCGCTTTTGCTCCTGCTCTCCCTGTTGCTCCCGCTCTTGCTTTGGCTTTGCTCTTGTTGATGCTCCCGCTTTTGCTCCTGCTCTTCCTGTTGCTCCCGCTTTTGCTCTCGCTCTTACTGTGCTCTGAAGGTATTTGGAGCCTCGAAACCCTCCCTCTATTTCATAACAGGTCTTAAAGCGCAGGGATGACTTCGGGAGGATTCGCCCCAATGTGTTTTCATTATTACGGGGGTGTTTAATAAAAGGGGGAAGGGATTAATGCGAAGTGATGACATGCTGCCATATGCTGCCTGTGCCTGCAAGGGAGCTGGAACGCCTCCCGGTGACTTTCGCAGAAGGGAGCTGCATTGCCTTCGTTCTCACGTGCCTTGGCACGAGACAGAGAAATCGCGTTCCTCCTCTCACTGTAGCCTTGCAATAGTGGAGGCTGCCAGCAGTGGGACTGCGGACGGCCACCGTGTATGTCGACGGTCAGCCTTTCGAGAGCCTTCTCTGAAAATTACCGTGTGAGAAACCGTGGTCCATGTCGCCACTGCTTCTTTGCCTTGCATTCCCAAGGAAGGTCTTCACGGACCTGCCCGATACTGTGCATCACGACTGAAATGACACCGCCGAAGAATGACTGCCGCAGCATGTGGTGTGAAGACCACATACTATACAGAATATTTGTCATTGACGAGTCATTGACACGGCTGAGGTATCCGGCAGCATCAAATGTGAGATTGCCAGCCCAGTTTCGACTTCAGTGCGATCTCTCCTTGGAGGCCGTCTTGGAGAACCTCCGTTTGCGAGAGCTTTAACGCTGCTAACTGTGCGCACTGTGCTGCAGAGGACCTCATCCAATCCAATGCTGTGGAAGCCGCACCACCGACCGTGTGACAAAAGTGGAACAGCATGCAGCACAGCAATGGCTGCAGTACACTTCCAGCACGCGATTGTAGGCAAACTCCTGCATGCCATGTCGGGTCGAGCATGTCAAGACATGTGAGAGACAGGAGGAACATGTCCGGGCACATCCCGTCAGATGAGATACTAGGTAGCTGCTAGCTAGTTTCGCAACGCTCTCAAGCCGAAGAACTCAAGCAGAGACGGCAGCTCAGACACCGATGGCCCGAGAACTCTACGAACTCTACGAGCTGGAGGCGGGAGCAGCCCGGGTCTTTGATCCCAAAGACGAGGAAACCTATGCCGAGTACTTCCGCCTCTCGGCTTTACGGAGACTGTCACGCAGTGGGCGGAATGCAGGTGGGCTTATTCAGCCTGTGAACTGAGGCGAGCATGGCTTCGTCGTAGTTCGTGACGTGTTGGAGTCCAAGCAAGTTCAGGCCACGATCGAGGAGATTTGGACAAGCCCCAGCCTTCTAGGCGGACGCGTGGACCCGGATGATCCAGACTCGTGGAACGATGGCTGGCCGGTTGGATGCCGGAACTTCTTGGACCCCTTAGATCCTTGCGTGGAGGTTGAAACTTGGCGGAACCGCGTGAATCCTGCCGTGAACCGGGTCTTCGACGTGCTCTGGGAGGGTTTGCCAGAACTCGACAGCGACGAGGCCCGGCAAGATCTTCTCATGAGTGAAGTTAATTCCAACATGAGCGTTTGGAGCATGTTCGTCAGGAAGGCGCCAGCATGGAGGGAGGTAGCCTCGTCATGTCCGTGGACCGCATTGGCGTGATGCGCCCTACCAAGTTGTGCAAAGCCACGACAGATGGGCAGATGTGGGTGGAAAGGCTGGGTCCGAGCATGGATTCGCAGGGAGCGGGCACGTGTGGGCGCATGTTTCGAGGCCGGAGTGGAGAACGAGCCGGAACTGGCTGCACTGGGATCAGAACCCATGGCTACTCGGCAAGGAGCCGGCATCGTCACGCTGGTAGTTTCCAGTCTGGCAGGGGCGTACTGTCCTCCTGACGTGCTTGAGTCGAGTTTGACAAGGATCAGAATTACATGCGTGTGTTTCTGCGCGACTGTGTTTTGATTTGCAGGCCTTCATGTGAATATCAGGCTTTGTTAGACAAACAATCATCACTGGGGGGAGCACCTTACATCAAGGCAGGTTCGACTAGGATAGACCTCGTGCCAACCCCAAGCTTTCAGGTAAAGATCGTTTAACGATGTGTTAGGTGCGGTCCGAGGTCTCAGAAGCCTGGAGTAAGCAACGAAAATCGATGTAAAGGGAAGGATCAGACTTGAAGACGCGAGATGAATCTATCAATAAAGTTACTCCTGCTTTGGAAGCACGAGCAGGGCACGGATGCAGATTGTATGTGCACAAATGAAGACACGTTTTCCAAGAAGGAGTATTCGCACTGCAGAGTGCAGCCATGCGATCCTGCTTGCATCTCACATCTTCGCATCTTCCACGACTACAGGCGTCAGGTAGTCTTGTGTCCTGCTCCGATTCGCAGTATCTCTCTGACAGTCTCAGGTCGTCCCCAGGCTTCACGGCCGTGCAAGGGCTGCTGTGCCTCGCGGGACGCTTCCAACCATTTCATTACTGTCTATTGTTGCGCAGAGTCCTGGCTGTGACGCCGTGGCTTTCTTTGAAAGCTGAGAGGAAGCTCTGGCAGCTCTGGCGGCTTCGTAACGGTCCCGGGCTTCCATCGAGAGTTCGCGGGCTGGAGCCAGCGGCATCCGGCCGGCAGCTCCGTCGGTAATCCGAAGAGTTGCGATCTCTTTACGGAGATGTGTAGGTCGTGGGAGTCACATGGCATATGCACGCTGTTAGCTGCTTCAGACCTGGCACAGAAACGGCTGATTTGCTCATTGGTAAGCTTTTTGCTTGCAGTGATTGTCAAGGCACAGGTATACTTCTCCATCGCAAGAGCTTGTTGTGTTCTTGTGGTTGATTTGCTGTTGGCAGTTTTAGGCTTGACAATCTACAAGCTCTTTGTAGACAATCGCTCGTGAAAGCACACACGTACGGCGGTGGGGCACAGAATTGAAATCCGGTGCATGCAGCCCGGCTCTGCAAGTGAACAGCTCTAGTAGGGCTCTGGTTCAGACATGTAGTTCTGACATCTCAGGCAGCATTCCGAAACGGTCATCCACGATGATACCCTTCCCCGTCCCCACGGAAGATGAGATGCAGGCTGCGTCGGTTGCAGATAGCTTGATTCTGAGTTCGGTACAGCAAGCCGATGCACCCGTCCTATGCTTTGACCGCAGGCGAGAAGACGAAAAGTCTTAGTTCCGAGCGGAGGCTTGCTCGTCTGGGACTCGCGGCTCCCGCACGAGAACTTTCCTAACGAGGATCACTCGTGGCGGATCGTACCGAAACCGCATGAAAACAGCAAGCGCAACTGTGTAGATTTCCCAGCAGATAGCCCCTATCCCAGGTGCAATATGTCACCTGCAAGCGCCTGGTCACGTCTGACTTGCAGCATCGTGCCAGAGCTTGGCATGCCGGCTTCCGAACAGGCTGAGCTTGGGCAGGGGAAACCATGGAAAGCAATATGATGTGGTCTGTCTTTTACATCCGCAAGGAGCGAGCCTCCTACTTTCTCTTTGTTTACCGTCTCTGCACCCTGAAGGCCTTGTACCGTCGAACTTCGCGCGGCGCTTTGCCCCTGCCGAGCAGCTGAGGCAAGTACAATGCGTTGCTTCTGCTTTGGTGGTTATCCACTTGAACTTGAAAGCACCACAAGAAAATGGGCGACGCAACCACAATTAACACGCAGCTTTGCCTCAGTGGCACTCTCTGACTGCGCGACAGACCGAGAAAGATGGCTGCAAACAGAACCCCCTCGTGAAAGATTCTGCCCCTGCAAGCATGGCCTCATTCAGCTGTACCGGGAAAAGTTTCAAGCTGCCTGCAGGCAAGTAGGATTGCTGCTGGTGGCAGCTTCGATGTCCCAACTTTGTGGTGTTGTTCTAACGAGCCTGCCGGCATGCTCATGTCATGAAGCTATATCCCTCCGACTTTAGGGCTCTCAATAAGGATGCGCATATAACGGGGCATCGTGCTTGTTGTGAGATCTGGCACCCAAACGAGTTCGGAGAGTCTGCAAAACCCTACCAGAGGAGTAGACACACCGGGTGGACTTTTTCGAACAGGTTTGTCCGACTTTGACCTCAGCGCGGGAAGCTTCGCAGATTCCAGAGCATGATATAAGCATGGCATTGAGATCCTTGCAAAAAGCCAAAGAGCGGACGTTGGAGATCGCTCAACGGTTTCCTTTCCAGGCTGGGCATGGCGCTGGACGACGGCGACGGTTCCGAGGGCTTTGGCCTCGCAGCGCTGCAAGAGGCCATCGCCATGGGGGAGGAGCTGTCCTCAGAAGCTCTGGAGGCGAGGCAAATGGGAGCAGTATAAGGCCAAATCTCCCGCGAAGTTGTTGGCTTTCTTCTTTTTCCCGAAGGCAGCTCGCAAGCTCCGGCGAGCCTATCGATTGAAACAGACTGCTGAGCTGCCCACAGAGCTGCAGGAGAACATGAGTGTCAAAGCGTTCTGGACGAGAAATACAAAATTCTGAGTCTGTCCGCAGTGAATTGGGGCGAGCCCCCCCCCCCCGATACTTCAGAACCGGAAGCAAAGGAGAGCAGCTTCAGCTTTGTGTGCCTCTCTGAAATCTTACCTTGGGACCTGCAGCTCTCTCTTGCTCTCTCGCTCCCCTTCTCCCTGTCTCTCACACTTACACTCTCGCCTTGCAGCTACTTCTAGCCCAGAGCAGAATCGCCGATGCATGCGTTGCAGGAGGCGACAGCGCTCTTCCGAGAGGCCTAACCTGGAAAAGGGGACAGGGTCCGGAAGTGGGTTAACGCTACAAGCAGTGATGTATAAGCAGTGTCAGGCCTTTGCAGCCAACCCAGACCTGAAGCTGCCGCTGCAGTGTGTCGCCAAATCTGAGAGCATCTCTGCTAATGCGGTGGTGCTTTGGTGTGATCGAAACAGTACTGCATTGCCGCCTCCATCACCTCTGTATCTAAGGCACGTATTTGCCATTTTGGCTGCTCTGAGGCAGAGGCGATGTCATGTCAAAAACAGTCCGAGCTCCCGCAGGGTTGTGTGTGAAGTTCAGCGTGCAGCTCTCCATGCTTTTTCTTTGGCTTGCAAGACGTGCGAGCCAAGGTCAAGGTCATACTTGAGACTGCTTTGCATGATGACAGCATTGTCGAAGCCATTTGGGCCGAAGTGGTTGGCTGCGCCAGATAGCTCCAGGCACTTCTTCACTTTGTTGACGGCTTCGGCTTAAGTACCGTGTCGCCAGGACCTGCTCCTTCATGGCTTTAGAGCAAGAGTCCGGCAGGTTGCTCCAGCTGGAGGCCTCAGCCCCTCCAAAGCGGTTCGGTCGCAATAAAAAGCCCTTCACAATAGCCAAGCCGACAGAGTTTTGAAAGGCAAGGTCCTCAGCGCTCTGTGAGCAGAAGAGGAGCAGAAAACAGCCAGTAGTCATTTGCCAATGGTTGACGGTAGCAACAGCACTCGCTTTGACTCGCACGTTCTACGAAGAAGACGGATAATGATACACATCCTACCCGTACCACGGCAAAGTAAAGTGCCCCCGAGTTGACGAAGCTTCGCGGCACAGCGGGGAGCCAAAGCCACTGACTCAAAAACTGAATTTGGAAGCCACTGAAAATCAAAACGGCAGCAGGAGCTTAACTGTCCATTCCCACTGCGCGCAGTGAGATCCAATCTGGAGGAGAATGCACACGATGATGCTTGCGTCCATGGGTCGTTTGTTTTGCGGTTTCAAAGAATTACTGGAAACCGGTGGACCTCCCATGCTCTCCATAGTGTAGACACAGTTATACTTGACATGTGTCTGAATGCTGTACAACACATGTCGAAGTCCTTGTCCACGGCACATCCGGCAACTCCACCACTGATTCAATGCAGCATCCACGCTACTCGTAGTTTTATGTTCATTCTCGCGGCCTGATGTGTGATACGTGCATACCTTGGAACATCTTGGAACTGATTAAACTAGATCGCCTGGAGGGTCTTTGCTTGGCGATCACGTACCCCTGCATAGGGAACGGAGAGCCGCATCGTCCAGGCACAGCCACCAGGAAGGCCATGATGAACAGCAACATGTTCTGGCGGATGTGATGAGCTCCAAATGAGGCAACTAGTGCTATGCTGTATAAGCCAAGCCGCCACTTTGGAGTAAGCGAGTGGCCGCAGAATGCAAGATCATTCAAGCATTCTCCTGCAACGTGTCAGTCCTGACCTCACCCCGATTGGACCTTCCATCTCGGGCCGAAACAGTTCCGAGCGTGCCAAGGCTGCGTAACTGGGCAGTGTAGACGCATCCACCGTTCATGCCGAGGACCCCGAAGCACGTTTGCCACAGCCGTGGAAGTCGGGCACGGAGTTGGTTTGACGTAATCTCGCCATCGGGCCATCCTTTGACTTGGAGCGTTGGACGGAGAGCGAAGCTTGCCGCCTGAAAGGTCGGCCAAAAGGGCTGAAAAGGGTCGGGGATCTTGTCAAACGAGGCATCAACTCCCGTGCTGTGCTGGGCTGGAAGTTTCACGAATCCTTACAAGGATTCTACACCGGCAACAGTCGCGGAAGGGAACACTTGCCACAGGTGAGGACGGTCAGCAGTCCCTGACGAACATGAAAAGAATTTCATCAGGACCGAACACGCAGAGAGGCTTGCAATAGTTGAGAGCTGGCCAGGAGGCAACGCATGATGCGCGAGACACCTCTGCGGCAGGGGCATCGAAACATGCAGAACCCGGGAAGGTATATAAGGGGTGCCACTGGAACGGAATGATGAATTCTGTCAGGAGTATCGTTAATACTACGTCAGCTGCGGATGCTAGCTACTGCATCGTCTTGTTCGTTTTGCAGAGTGCCAAAGATGGCAAAAACACATTGCCCCAACAGTCATTCGGTCCCGGCCGGAATCCTCGGGCACCATCCGACAAGCTCAAACCGGCGACGATATGGACGGATTGGCTAAAACATCCACGATCCGCCAAGATTCTTTCTGGAAGTGGTTCTCCTGCAAGTATGACGAACTTCGTGTCCGCGATAATCAGCAGCATAATTGGAGCTGAGCTGACGAGTCTTCGAAGCTCAGTCCCAACTGTGATTTTGCGCGCATGTCGACAGGTCGAGGGGGCAGATCCCGAGGCAGCCCAGCAGGCCTTGGACATGACGCTGCCATGCCGCATGTCTTGTGAAGTTCACCGTGCAGCGGTGGCCAGGTGGTGGATCCACCCTCGCGATTAAGGAGCACATATGTCAAGGTACACTTTGGTCGGCGCCTGCCGAGATACATGTTTGCCTGAATTGTGAAGGTCTTCTGTGGGGCTATTTTGGCAGCTGGCTTGATGGTCTTGTTCTGACCTCGGTTGCGACAGATGTGGCAGCCCACAACTTTTACAAGTAAATATCACAATCCCCAAACTTCGCGAAGTGGCACTGTGTCAAGGATCGAAGAAGGAGACAGAGCTAAGAATAGAGAAGATAGAGAGTGTCGATAGCAGTAGTTACGAGCAGTTTCAGTCAAGGAGTGTAATGAAACCAACTTCGCTTACGTTCGCTCAAGATGCCCCACAAAAAGGAGCTGTCATCTCGACCCGGCTTACGTGTCGGTGTTACCGTGAACGTGGTGGATCGCAGAGCCAGCACAAACACGGAAAGCATACCTGCGACGGGTGCTGACGGTTGATGACCGACTCAAGTTGAACAAGCAGGAAAAAGCATCTCGCGGTAGGGCAGGACGGGCCTTGCCAACGCAGAGGCTTATAACTTCTAGCGAGCGATGTTCCCGAATCCATCTTTGCAGCCTTTTTTTGTGAGGTCCCCCGTGTCTGTTCGATCCTGGCTTCCAAGAGACAACAGAGAACAAGAGAAGAGTCAAAACGTTACAATGACAGCACCGATTTCAAGGGGAAATGTCCAAGGTGATCACAAGTCAAGTGCCTCGCAAGTCAAGCCTTTATCAGGATGTGGCAGCCGCATCGCACAAGCCCCCGGGCTTCCATCGAGGATGTCGAGGTGCGGGGACTGCAATGTCACGCGGCAAGCGCATCTGAGTGTATGGTACGGACATACGGTACAAGCTTGTGTAAAGCACATGAAGCGGCCTATCGATCGAGCGATCAACCTACCCTTCTAACCATCTATCGGTATTATTTCGTTATCTTTACCCAACTACCTATCTATCTCTCCACCTATCTACTTATCTCTATTTGTGTATCTACATATCTATTCATCCATCCATACATTACATACAAGCATACATACGCAAGTACTTACGAACATGCATGCATACATCCAGTCGTACAGGCATGCATGCATACAGGCATGCATGCATGCAAACCAGCAGAGGTTCGATGCGACATGCCAGGATCTCGCACAAGAGGCACCCAAGCCGTGCCTGTGCATCTTCGATATCGACAGAACACTCACAATGAGGCAGGAAGCAAGCGCATGCTTGCACTCCTTCGCAGCAAGCCTGCTTCGTGGTCCATTGCTCTGCGGGGACAGTTGGACTGCATGCGCTTTGCACATCACGACTTACTCACCGCTCGTCGTTACTGAGGGCTCAGTAGCTCTGATGTTTGCGTTGTCGAAGTTCCCTGCCTGATCCTGTCTGGCATTTGTGGTGAAATGGCCAGCCGAAGTCCGCTTCTGAAGCAAGCTGCCGAACGCTCTGCAGAATGACACATGGCCGGGCGGGAGAAGTGCCCGATTGCAGTTCATGAGCACCTCAGAACGGTGTAAACCCATTCAGTAGTCAGAAAAGGACATCGCTGTCATGGTGGACGTCGTTGTTTCTTTGCCTTGCCTCGTCCAAAGGCTGTCCAGAGCCAAGACTCTCGACAGAGGGTTCATCTAACGAGCGAGCGCCCTTGTAAGCTTACATTGCTTGCCTTTCCGCCGTCTTTAGGCCATTTAGCCTTTGATGAGAGAACGGGCGACGCTTGGATGCATTTGCAGCTGTGCGAGAGTGGTCTGAACCCGGGCCCGTTCTCGAGTGGCCCTATCGTCCGACTGCTGCATCTGCTGCGGCAGCTTTCTGAGGAGACAGGCCATTCTTTCTTGGCGCGGTGCGCACTCGCTGCACGCTCTGCAGCGGAGGCTCTTACATTAATTTGAGCCGCAGTATCTCAGTATTTGCCAAAGGCGTCTCGATGAGTTCAAACTGAGACGCTGGGGGTGTGCACTTGCGAGGCTGTCGGGACGGGCAGAGAGCTTCCGTTGGACGTGCCGGAATTGCGGGGCTGCCTTGCTACTGGGATAAGCAATCCATGCATTTTGCCGTAAGATTTTTCCGATATAAGAAGACCCTGGCCTTGTCCTCCATGCCATTTCAGGACACCTCTAGCCAGCTTCAGGATGAGGCGCTCAGGGAAGGACAGCGCAGCTTGTGTCCGGAGGGCTGCGTGGTGGTCCTCTTACTGGAGGTGGGATGGGCTCTGGGGCATGCGACGAAAGGCATAGGTGCAACTTGCCCAGCGACTGCCGTCGTCTCAGGCCTTGGCATTCCCGGCGCAGCATCTTAATGTGGTGTGCTCAATTTGTGATTGTCCTGCTTACATTTGGGATCTGTCTCGTGTGGTTTTGGCTCTCAGGTGCGCCACTGCTCCTTATCACTTATGTTCTATTTCCGGGCCAGCATGTACTTTAAGGACGGCTTCCCTCGCAAAGCATGTCGTAATTTGTTGCAGAAGTTCACGCTGCAGGATTTCGAGCCGCACTGGACGCTGGACTTGCGGGACAACCTCGCCCCACTGGTGGCTCCCCCGGTGGCAGCCAGGGGGAAGCCGCCATGCTCGCACCTGCATGGTGACATGTTTTGACATGACTTGTTGAAACAATGAGGTGAATGTGCGACGAGGCCAGTGTGCCAGCGCTCGTGAGCGCGAGCTACAGGCTCGGCATGGCATCTGCAGACTCTTAATCATCTGCAATGCGTGGCGCCCGCAGGGCCGAAGTGTGCCGCAGCCACAGCCCACTCCGGTACAGACATCGCGCCGTGGCCACGGCAGCCTTCCCCGTGAGGAACAGGCACGTGGACAAATTCTCTTTCTGCGCCATGCCCGGTACAGAACCAATCAATTTTTATGCGATCTTTTCTGTCTCTCACGATCAAGAGTCAAACCAAGACTGTGGAATAGACCACATTCGTAGTAGTCTGCCGCAGCCAAAACAGAGGCAGCTTAACTAGTTGAGCTCGTCATTGTTGGCTCACGTGACATCGCTCTAGCATCTTTACAAAAGCAGGGTGCGTCGTCATCCTCGAGAGGCGGCAGTGCTCATCGCAGCGACGCCGGCGATGCTCAAGAGGTATCAGCCCTTCATCAACTTATGGAGATGCTATGCGCTGCGCCACGGGCATGCTTTTCTCCTCGAGACGGACGAAGGCTTCGACTGTGTCGAGCCATATCACACTGCAGTAAGAAACATGCTAAATTGCTGTTACATGCTAAGCCTTAGCTGTTAAGCATGCCCAATGCCCGGAATGTTTATCAAAGGAGACCGGAACCTCTTGGCCTGAAGCTCTTCCGATGCTCCACCCCACCCTGTGCCGACAGCTAAAATAAGCCTCCAAGGTCTGCAAGTGGCATCATCCTTTAAGGGCGAGCGCCATAATGTCGGCATGCTCCGGACGTCTGCGAAATCTGTGCGTACTGGCTGGTCCAGCAAGCTCAGCCAATCCTGAATTCAGACGGCCAGCGAACGTATACAGAAACAGCGGGGACGGGAACCCTTTGTGCAGCAGCTTTGCGAAGCGATTTGTGGGGATGCATACAGGCAAAGCGAGCGGGGTGAACTGCAGCGTCTGTATCTCGTTTCCTTGAAGTCTGCACAACCCGGACGAAGTGCTCTTGACGAATCGAAGGTGCCGCTCGTTTTTCGCCTCCGTGTCCTTTATGTGTTTGAGGGCTCAATGCGCAAAGACTGCGCAAAGCGAGGGTGGGCTGGCGGGGATTGCGCAAACGGTGGTGCAAGGAGAGGTTGGTATCATCCACTATGCATGGCTCCGAACGTGCACGACTGGATCAGGCATTCGCCCGCACGCCATGTTGGAAGTGACGGGTCCAGTTAAAAAGCTGTGCGCAAGGCGAAGCACCGGCGCCCAATTGGCTGCGCTGGTACGCTGCAAGGAGGTACTTGCCTCTCTACGCCGCGCTCCTGCAGCCAGGCTGACAGGAAAAATTATACCCCTCAGCACAGGCTTTTTTTTTCCGGGGTCGGGGGCCGTTTCGTGAGTTGGACCATGATGCTGCAGCAGGGCTTCACAGAAAGATGATCTTGCAAGGCTAGTAGATCCTGACCAGATCATCGTGGCACCGTGCTGGGAATTGTCAGTGCGAGCCTTGACTGCTCGCGAAACAGCCCCAGACCTCAAAGCTTTGTCTGCGAAGAATTTCTTAGAAACCTTCAAGACCTGTGGTCCCAGATCATCGAGTTGGCGGGCACTTGGCCAGAACGAGGCATGGGTGGAAGTTCAACTGGAAATTTATTGCTCCATGTGCCTTTCGGGCAGGTCATCTTCCATCAATTTGTTGGCTTGCTGTTGCTTCCGCATGCTGAGATGCGAGTCGGCCACTTCCTGACGTCGGTTTGCGCGATTTCGGGCGCATGGCACCTAGTATCACCTGCAGCAAGTGTTTGCGAGTTGGCATGCCGTTCCTGGGGTGTGCTGGATGGCAGGTCCGCAGACCCTGAACAATGGAGTGGTTCTACTGCGTAACTCTGTCCGTGGGCATTTCTTCCTGGAGCTTCTTCTTGAGAAGGCGTGGGAATCACCGGACACTCTCAAAAGACTCTTGCATTTGGATGGGTTACTCCAGGCCCTTTGGTTCCAGACCATCGAGCGTGACCAGGGTCCCTTCGATGAGACCGTCCTGGAAGTATTGGGAATGGAGGCAAGCTTCCCCCATCTACGAAACATTTGTCCGTGCATATCCGTGCCAAGAAGACAAGTACCATTCCGCATCCGTGAGTTCCGCTTTGCACTACTGCCGAGGCTCGAATGCAGCGTGGCGACTCTCAACTCAATGTGGAGTCGGCAGCCATTGTGCCACATGTAAGCTTGCTGCACCAACTCTGAGTCTGGAATGTCAACAGGCTTGGATATCGGTGCAGCTACTTATGAGAGAAGTTCTGAACTCTCCCAGCCCAGACCGTCAGTAGCTAACTAGCACCTGTGAGGAGGTGGCAAAAGATGTAAAATGCACAGTCTTCGATGCAAAGATGAGGGTAGTCACAGTCTCAAGTCTTCACGTGAACCTGCACTTGAGCACTTTACCGCACTATGTTATTTGACTTTGAGTTTGTCATTGTGCCCTTTGATTCTTGATCCTGAACTTCTGAGGCTACCTATGATTCTGAGTGTGCACAGTACCTCTTCCCCAACCATCAGGGGCGGCTCGCCTCAAAGGAGAAGCTCACAGCACTACCACGATCAGTTGAATATGCTTGACTCCTTGACTGCTGCGCTGCTACACAGCCACACGGCGCTTACCTGACTGTTGTCACGGCGAACCGAGGAACCACGAGGTCTCGCTGTATGCACTGTGTTGGTGGCGGATCAGTGAGGAACTGGCCGGCCCCTTTGGCGACCGCAATTCAAGCATCATCAGGCACAGGTTCTGGAATGCTCGGGCCAGTCTGTCAGCAATCGCTTGATATGCTTGAGTCAGTGACATCTTGTTGCTTTTTTGTTAGATTCTTGTCCCTATGCACAACGCTTGGACTTGTTCCTGCTTCGATTGCATTCTATGCTTGTGATCACAGAGTCCACTGACACCTCGCTGCAAAACTTCTTTGTCACTGCACTTGCGTTCACAGCATTGTCAGCCAAACACAGCAGCGATGTTGATGTCCCACGATGACTTATGTAGACCATGGCTGGACTCAAAAGACGATGCTTATACCGGTCAAAAAAAGCTCTTTCCTTTCCAACAGCGGCAAGAATCATCGCAATGACGAGCTTCACCAGCGTCACCGCCGTACCATGCTCATGTTCTTAAACGCAAGACGATTGAGACTTTGTCCTGCTTTAGGACATGCATTTGCATCATGTTGCATCTAAAGCTGCATTTATCAAAGTGTGAAAGAAACTGTGACCCCTGCAGATTCGTCGATCCGCGCCTTGCTGACATCAACCATGTTGTTGGCGCCAGAGGATTGTCCGACGCTTTGGCTGAAGTTGAGACACACTGCAGCCTGCAGCTGGGAATCTTTCTGTGCTCTCAGGATCCGGCACTCCTCTATCACTTCGCGGGCCGCTCCAAGGACTGGGAGGCCATGCTGAAGACTTTTGGCCTCGATGCCGAGCGCTGCTTGGCGGATCGCGAAGCGAAACGCTCTGTGCTCAGCTTGCGAAGCCAAGGAACGCGTGCTTGCCAAGAGGTTTTCAACTATGTCGACAACAGGAGCTGGGACGTGTGGAGCATCAACCTGCATCAACCAAGTCTGAGTTGCGGTGCGAGCAAACACATGAGCAAACAGAAGCTGCAACTTGAGGAGCTCCATGGAAGACTGTGTTCCTGGTGGACCAGTTGTGCAAGAGTGCGAGCCGCCAGAGATAGTCTGCTGAGTGTGAATGGAGGGTGTCACTCGAACATGGCACACAGTTGCGCAGACGAAAACGGGCGGATCTGGGTCATTCTCAATCGTGTAGCGCCTCCTTTGCATCTGTCACTGCCCGGAATTCTCAGCTCGACACGACGCTCTGAAATTTGCTGCCCACAGGCAAGATGCTGCGGAACGTTGTCCCGTTGCATCGGAGGCTGGCTGATTTCCACCACTACACTCGCATGGGTTTCGGCGCTAAATTTCTCCAATTAGCCAGAGTACTGAGGCACCTGTCAGAGTTTTTTGTTTAGGTTGAACGAGCTTCTAACATGTGCGTTGACCATCACGCGTTAAGTGTGCTAGTATAGTCTGCAACACGCGCAAGGCTCAGAAGAAAGCAAGTCTTGAGCCTACTTTGCCCTGCATGATGTACCTCACTAGCCTAGCAGACCGAGGTGGCAAGCTGATTATGGACTATGCTTATGGCGGGGGGCCGCTTCTCCTTTCGGTCGGGATCCTTGGAGCAAAGGCTTTGCAGCACCTTGCAGCGCCATCTTTTCAGGAGGTTGCTCAGCACCTGGACCAGACCTTCTGCAGCCGAGACAAGTGCCACATGGGTGGCTTTTCTGCACGAGCACAGCAGAGCTGGGTGCAGGGGACTGGAAGACATACTGTGAATGCACCCTCTGTTGTACATGTACAGGAAGCCATGGCCATGACATGCATGTGTTAACTGTATATATTTCCCGCTGCCGTTAGGGCCCTTGAGTCATATCCAGATAGCTTCGCAGTCGGCGAAAAGATCCACCAGTTTCTCAAACTGGCAGCGGAGCCAGGTACCTCCGGGACCTGTATCTGCGCGGATCGCAGTAGCCTGTAGCCTGTGCTCAATACCTACCTTTGCATACCTCCCTCTCAATTCTTTCCCTTCGAACTTTCGCCAAACATGTCCGTGGCCGGTCTTCGGTACAGTCGCTCCACCTACGCGAGTACTCCCCTTGAGACTCGTAGCGGGAGCTACATATATGATGGCACCCCCAGTACGTTCCACGACTGGGAGTTTAGGACCTCTATGAGGCTTAAACTGTATGAAGATGCTATCAGGAGCAAACCTAAGAAGACCGTGGAGCCAGAAGAAGAAGGCAGTGACGATGAGAGCCGCGTCGTGGAGCAGAGTCCGACCGCGGGAGTCACTGCCCCTGTACCTTCCGAGGACAGGCCCGACATGGATGCAGCCGAGGCAACGGCAGCAGCCTCTGATGGTGGATCTCGCAGGAGACCGTCTGCACCGAAGTCACCTGACTCGGTCACAGAACTGCCGGTTGCCGACGAAATGTCATCCTATGCGGTTAAAGCACGAACCGAAATGGTGCATAAAGTGCTGGAAGGACTTCGGGACGAAGCCTTCGAACTCGCCCGGGATATCGGTATCGAATCCCTGACTGCCCCTGGTGGCCTCCGGGATTTCATCACTAAGTTGAGGAATGTCGTCTTCCCCCGTGCGACCGAAGAAGCTCGAGAGCTCTTCCGTGCGGGCCAGAAGCAAGGGTGTCCTCGCACGCCAAGGCGGCGAGTCGATGCTGTCGTACGTCAGCCGGCGACGACGCTGGTGGAAACTGCTCAAAACTCTCGACGCCAGCATCGAGCTTTCCGAGCCGATGCGCGTGGAATTGCTATTGGAGCTTTCCGGATTGACTCGGCAAGAGTGCCTTGTCATTAAGGCATGCACCACTAGCAACCGGAGCTTTGAAGCAGTTGCTGCTACCCTAGTGGAGCATTATAGCGGCGTTCACCTAAAGGAAGGTCGTTCCTTAGGTGGCGGTACCTTTCAGGACCGCCGATCGCATCACCATCCTGGTGCCCGCCGCGGGAACCCTAAGGGCTACGGTAAGAATAGGTCTAAGGGTTTTAGCCGTCGCGCCTACGTCGCTGAAGACGAGACGCAGTACTACGACGATGCGCCGGAGGAAGAAGAGGCAACTGCTCTCAACTGCCTCGAGGAGCTTGATCCCGAGGATGCAGACAGCGGCCATGTAATTCAATTGCAGCTTGCCGCGAACGCCGCATTCGGAAAAGCGAAGGGGCGTAAGGGCAAGGGCCGCAAAGGAAAAGGGAAAGGTAAGGTAGTGCGATCACACCTTACGCTCGACGAACGTCGCGAGAAAATGAAAAACCTGAAGGCACGGTCGAAATGCCTCAGGTGTGGAGCTATTGGTCACTGGGCAGGTGACCCCGAGTGCAAATTCCCTACCTCTAAAGGAGGGAAAGGGAAACCCCGGGCCCACATAGCAATTGTGGAGCCGCGACAGGACCCCGACGGGGGCCTGTACGTTCCCGATATGGACCCTAGTGGCCATATGGTGCGGGATCTAGGCGAAGCCAGATCCAAGGCTGCCCCCTCACAACCATCTAGCTCAATGCAGATGGAGGGTGCCGACCGAAGATTTAATCTCGGTCAACACAAGGGCCAGACTTACGAGGAGGTATCCCGTAAGACTGAGTTCGTGCGCTGGGCCCTCGTCCAGCCGAGCCCTGCCGCGCACCTTAAGGATTTCCTCACCTGGTTTAATAGATATTATGTCATTCAGCAGGGTGTAGGAGGTCAATACTATCGCGAAACTCGTGCCTCGATAGGTATCCCTGAGGGAATCTATAACCCTCGCCCGAGGGGAAAGGGCGCGAAGAAGAAGACTCCACCGAATCCGCCCTTGGCGGAGAAGTGTAGCTCGTGTACGGAATTCTCCTACCAAGGAAGTTCCGCGAATTATGTCCGCAAGACCTGCAGGGACTGCGGCCATGTATCCCAGGAGAAACGGGAACATGTATATACGGTAGACCCCTCTGTATGCTCACACGAAGCAACAGACCATCGGGGTAGTTCGAGGACCACGTCCCGAACCTTCTGTAGAATGTGTGGCACTATCGTCGATGAAGTGCCGCAGGAGTTTCACCGAGAACGGAAAGCCGTCTCGGAGCGCATCTTGAAAGCGACGGACCTCGCGCTTCCCTTGGTTCAAGCGGTTACCGCTGACGACGCGACCGCTGACCTCGACCCTGAGGCAGTGCTGCAGATCATGGGTTTGTACCAAGATCGCATCAACCAGGCCATTGCGTTGGAGGAACGGATTCACCCAACAGGGCTTCACTTGTGGCTTAAGGAAGCAATCACCATGATAGTCGGGTCTAGTCCCATAAGTCCCTCCTGGGAGTTCGCCCCGACAGCAATGGTGGCCCGAGGGCGTAGCCCCGGGCGCAACAAAGGAAAGGGGAAGGCTAAGCAGCCTGTTCCAGCCGTTCCTGCTTCAGAGCCAGATCCAGCTCCAGAGCCTGAGCCAGCTCCAAATACTCCGGAGCTGTACAACATCTCGGATCCCCTGGGGACCGATTCCGTTGTGCACAGTCAGGACCCCGGACCTCGATCGCGATTATCGAGAAGCTATTCTAATAGAAAGCTTCAGGGCCGATGACGATCTGTACGACCCGTTCCCGGGTGGTTCGTCAGACGACGGATCGCCAGGATCCTACAATGTTGCTGAGCTGGACGATTATATCGCCAGGCAAGCTCAAGAGGATCTGGACGCAGCCTTTGAGCAGGCGCGCCAGCAGACTCAGAATGATGCCGAATCCGACAGTGTGACGCCTCCTGCCTCAGCGTCGGCAGCTCAGAACCGTCTGCAAGTGCGACATGTTCCCGGAAGGGAGATCATGCAGCTGGACTTCCAAGCACGCCAGCGACAGGGAACCGAACCGGTCCCTTGGTGGGAGGATCCTACAGAGCGAGATCTGGACCTCCAGAATCTCCCACGGCATGATGTTTGGAGACGCAGACGGGAGCAGATCCTGGCAGAGGGTTTCGCCAGGAGGAGAGAACTCGACGCACACAGGCGCGAGGAGGAGTACAGAGAGGCCTGCGCTATAAGGCAGGACCTGAGTACGTCCGCGCCAAGTGGAAGGCGGAAGCCTCCTCGCTCCCACAGGGGAATGCTCAAGCATCCTCTCCGAGGAATGCCCAGGCATCCTCGTCGTCGAGCCAAAACCAAAATATCCCTAAGGCCCCTAACCCAGTCGAACCGACCCCTAAAGAAAACCCTGAGGGTGGTTTCGTAGATAGGTCGGTGGTATGGGAGGAAGACGCAGCACAAGCTTATGCGCAAGCTGAGGAAGAGCCTCGTGATCCTTACGTCACAAGGCCTAACCGCTTCACTGGACCCTCCCGGGCCAGTGCCTCCGCCTCTCGACAGGACCTGCCCGACAGTGGCAACTCAGCTTCGACCGCGGCGCCGGCGAGGACCATCGGGCAGGGCAAGGGAGCAGGGATAGAACCTAAACCTAGGTGGCTTAAGCGAGGTAAAGGTAGAGGGATCTCACCTTCAGAGCCAAGCCAACCTGCACCGCCCAAGGCCCTCTCTAAGGCAAAGGCTAAGGGGAAGGGCGATGGGAAACCTAAGGTTTTTCCTAGGAATATTGCAGGTGCAGGATCAGCTTCTGGTAGCGATCTAGTCCGAATTGACAACCTCCCCCTAGTAGACATGTGGGACCCGTTAGAGGCCCACGTATGGGGTGCCCTCGACGAAGGTTGCAATTCCACCTGCCATAGTGCATCCTGGGGAGCACTAGCCGAGAAGAGACTTAAGGCGCTAGGCCTAAGTTTCCCCTGGGTTGATTCTAGGAAAAAGTCGTTCGCGGGTTTAGGCGCAACGTCCAACACCCTTGGAAAACGTCGTCTGCCGTTCAGCATAGTCAAGGGGGATACGACCATTGGGGGTGTACTAGAATCTCACGAAGTAGACACCTCTGCCCGAAACCCCTTGCTGCTGAGCCTGTTTGCCCAAAGCACCTTAGGGCTTATTAAGGACATGAAAACATGTACCTGCATGATCCGCAACCAAGATGGCTCATTGTCGCGGGTGCCTCTTGCTAGGTGCCAGGAAACAGGACTACTACTACTATGCTTAAGTACCTTTGAAGAGGACTTACCAGCCTGTGTTAAGGCACTTAGGACCCCTGAATGTAGGTCCGTAGTCAGAGCTAGGCCTGCAGTGAAGGCCCTGGTTGCAGAAGATTCGGAAGCATCCCTGGAGATTGGTACCCTTAAGGGACCAATCGAGGGGTTGCTTGAGGAAGGTACCCGTAAGGGACCTTCTCCAACAGCCATGGTCCTTGTGTCTCCAGTACCTGATACTGAAGGACTGGTTAACGGGTGTGCGGTTGGCCCGGAATCCTTCCATTTTGACAAGGCGTACGACCACTTCGGCGACGTCGTTATCTTGACTGGTGGAGCAAGATATCAATTTGATGCTCGAGGCAAGACCCGAGTAAGGATCCACAATCGTGACGGATGGGAGGATAGCTTTCCCCCATCGATTGCGAAGTCGCACAAGCTCTACCTGCACGACCTGAGGAAGCTTATTCATGCCGGCAGCCACTGCCCTTCTTTCGATGATCTTTAGAGACATCGAGGCGGCGGTGAAGTCGAGGACGCCGTGCATTATCTTGCCATTCTGCAGCGGGAACAGACACCGCAGTGTCGCTATGGGGACCTGCGTGTCGGCTGGCCTGTATGCTTTGGGGATGAACCACTTTTTAGGTCATCTACACGCCTATGTATCCTGGGGGGACATGAAGTGCGGCGGCCATTGCGCCTGGTGCAGAGGACATTTTACACATGCCTCTGCGACTGAACTCGGGAATAAGGTCTTGGCGCATCTGGATCCCGCAATAACCAGCTATGCG